AGGCATTATCTCTTAGTCCAGTATCCTTAGGAAGCACTTAACCACAATGCACAGTGATTTAGGAGCCCCAGGGCTGAATGGCCAAAGAGAAGTACTTGAATCTAGATCTACATACCCAGAACTTATACAATAAGCCACCTCCTGAGCTCAGGGTTGGGGGACTGAGACAGAGGTTATCCTTTGTAGCAACTCTGTGCTTGTGCCTCGCGGCCTGCAGCAACCTGTACACCTTGTGCGACGTGGGGTTCAGACCTCAGACCTTACCTGAGTGTGTTCATTGCGTCTGGGACCATAGGAGGGAGAAGGATGCAAAGGAGAACAAACTGTGGTCTTAGAGTCCACAGGCCAAATTAATAGCCTTCAGGTGCCTTTACCAGCTTTCTGATCTTGGGCAAGTTGCTCAATCTCTTTGTCTCCTCTGAAAAATGCAGGTAATAACCTACTTTCTCATCTAGTAGTTATTGATCACTTTCTGTATGCCAGGCACTGTTCTAAATACTGGGACACAATGGTCACTCAATCCAGGAGTTCCAAACATGCTGTCACTAACAGAGAAGCTCCCATTTTGGACTCCATGGTTTTAGTTATTGTTATCAGAATAGCAAACGAATCCTTCACAAATTGCTCGCAAGATAACAGTAACTGCCCAAGGTGGAAAACCAGAGATTTGGGGCTGAATGAAAGCCTGTGATGAGCTAACAGCCTGGCTGCCACACCATGGGAATTTCCAAAGGCAGAACTTGGCCATTGTATCTTGTTGCATCTCCTCAGAGAATTGAAAACTGACAAACCAAGGCTCTTTTCCAGAAATATGGTATAGGAATGACAACATTTTCCCTGACAAGTCTTTGATATCGAAGTGGCTGCACATGAAGGCTGAAGCTGAGTGGGAAGACTGAAGTGTTGAGTCAAAATGTCTTTTTCAAAGAGCAGCACCCAGGCGTTGGTGGGAGGCAGGGCCCCCAGAAGGTCACGACTACACAAGGTGGAAGGAGGACGCCACGTACCCAGCTCTGCGCGTGTTCTCGACTCCATGGCTTCTTCTCAAAGAAGCTACACTCTAGGTTGTGGACAAAAAAGGGGCACTACAATAAATCTAACAGGAAAGTGAGCTTACAGGGTGATCTGATCACAAATTCCTAACTGGGGAGGTCATGGTGGGGTAGTCACACCCCAGGCCTATACCTTCTTTAGAAAAAAGGTTTATCATTGCCTTAAGCAGCCCTGCCCACTGTTTCTGTGCGTCTGGGTTAATCCACCTTTGAAATGCCTCTTTTAGACCCCTTGGAAGCATAGCCACCCTCAAGAGTACATAATCTTGTTAACTATCCTGTAATCCAATCCTTGCCTTGCTTTCTCCTACCTTCCTGTAATAGTCTTCATGTTTCCTCCTCAATTCCAAAGTCATAAAAGAAACTGCAAACTATCATTCTGGGAAGCATTTTTCTCATCTTTCTCATCTGATGAGATCTTGCTTCCAGGTGTATCCTCTATTTGGCTCAAATAAACTCATAAAAACTGTCTAAAGTTTTGGATATTCTTATGTTGACAAGGTTTACTAAATTAACACACTGTCAATTTATATACTTGATCTCATTTAATGCACACAACAGCACTTCAGCTCCTCTGCTCCATGATGGGGGGGGGGGGGGGACACCAAGGCTCAGAGCAACCATGTGACTTGACCAAGGATGAATGAAGTTTGAATGACATATTAATAAGCTTGATCTGTTATGTAATATTTCTTTCTACTGACTGTCCCACTTATATAAGGAAACAAGAATCAGATGGTATACTCAAAATGGGATAGATAACTCAAGGAGATTTCTTTACAGAGACCATTGACAACCTGACAGAGAAGTGTGTGTGAGCGCGGTACTCCCTTGGTAGCAGCCAAGATGTTAGCTCCTGGGAGAGTGGCTGCCTGAGCCCAGAAGGAGAGAGCTGTGTAGAGCAGCTGCCTACAGAGCAAGGAGGTGGCCCTGTGCAGGCTGCCCTATGGGGAGGGAGCCGCTGGGACAACTCCATGCCCCGTCCTTCTGGCTTCCTCCCTCATCCCCTCCAAGTTGTGCCAGATCTTCCCAAGCAGAAGCCAGGGGCGTGGGAACCCTTGATGTGGTTAGTGTAGGTCAGCTCCGGGCCAGAAAGCAGGGTGGAGGAGGGTGGAGAGTAGATCTGAAGGGTGAGAAGTGAGAAGTAAAAATGAGCTAGAATGTAAAAATCTGCCTGGCGTTTCATTTGTCTGGGATAACAGAAACAAATGACGCCAGCTGAGAAGTTACCAGTGTTCCTCCTAAGGCCAGGCTGAAGCTGTGACGTGTCAGAGTGACCACTACACAGAAAAACCTTGTCTCTCAAGTCACACGGTCAGAGCTCTGCTCTCTGAAGTGCTAGCAGTAAGATCCCATGATGGATCTAAGTCCCTGACACAGAAGGCTGTCTTGGTTTCCACACCAGGGGCAGCCTTTCAGAAAAAGCGATTCTAGACATAAATTCCACATCCATCCTACCTTTGTATTTCCAAGGGAACAGGACCTGGACTCTGCTGCCAGGCCTGAGGCTGGCCCAGTGACTCCCAGCTATACTTTGCTTTGAGTTTATGAAAACACGGCTGCATGTAAATTTTACCTCAACTCCACCTTCCCTAGAAATCCTCTACCAACTCTATCTTTTCTCACTTTGGCGAAGGCCCACGGTTCTATGTGCATGCTCCCTCCTTGCAAGGAGCCTACAGACTCGACTTTATCAGATTCCGTGTTGCCCTGGGCCTGGCTTGGGCAAGGATCAATGGGGAAGTGTGGCTCACCCTGCCTCCACCACAGTGCATGTGATGGTCAGTTGTTTTCAGTGATTGGTTTCAGAGTCTCTCCGAAGCTTTCAGGAAAGGGCTTTGAATCCTAGTAGCTAACCTGCTTTTTCACTCTGAAATGTTCAGCAGTTTTCTCTTTTCCTTTACAATTTTTTTTGGGGGATGGGGTGGGGGGAGGGTGATTTGTGAGCTCGTTCTAAGTTGACATTTTTTTCTTCTCTGACCTGCTGGGTATTCTGTGAAGCCTTTCAAGTTGAGGTTACACCTCTCCTACCTCTCCATACCCCAGGTGGGGGACTTTTAGCCCTTACAAAGCAGGTAGTGGATGTGGAGAAATGGGTATAGGGCTGGGCTGTGCACACCTGGGACAGGGGAGGGCCTGACTACCCACCTTCACCCCCACCAGCTAGTTTGAGGTCAGCTGAGAGATTGCTTGGGTTTTCTGGATCCTTCTGAGGGAGTTCTCAGTTGCTTTTCTGATTCTGAAGTTGAACAGCAGTCCCCTCCACACACACCTTCCTGAGCAAAAACCCTCTGATGGGAGGCATAGGTCCCTCAGGTTCAAACATTGCCACTCCTGACTGAGGTCAATGTGCACAAAATATCTTTGTCTCACAGCTGAGTTGGCAGTGGTCTCCCTGCTCCTGAGGTCTAGGGGGTTACTTGACCCCACCCCAAGAGGTTACGAAAGCTTAAGTAACTTGCCCAAGGTTCTATAGTGATTGGCAGAACTGAGATGAAAATCAACAAGCCAAAATCTAGAACCACAGCCCTAATTGCTATGGGATGCTGCCCCATTTATTCTAATAACTTCATCCAATTTCCCCCATCACTCATTTTACAAATGTGGAAACACAGGTCAATTAATTTGCCCAAGGTCGCATGGCTACTGAGAGGCAGAGCCAGAGCTTAAACCATGGCCTGTTGGCTGCTGAAGTCCACACTCTAAAAAATGAAGTCAAAGAAAGGGAGGGGTTCTGGGTGGTGAGCACACAATGTGATATACAGATGATGTATTACAGAATTGTACACTTGAAACCTATGTAATTTTACTAATCACTGTCATCCAAAACCAAAAAAAAAAGGGAAAGGAGGGGTAGTGAAGCAAATGGACAAAGGAACTTAACTTTCTCTACCATCAAATAGGACGTGGGCTTAAGTGGGCTGCAGGTAGATTCTGCAAAGAGCAGCAGGTTTTGCCCTTGCAGAAGGTCAGGGCAGCTGCTGTGGATTCTGGTGTCCCCTGAAGGCCTTGGACAGTATCGGGTGACCCTGAGAGTTTGCGCACTGCTGCAGAGGTGGACCTTTGAGCCCCACTGCCCCTTCTGCCCCAGAATATGCAGCGTGTGCTCCTGAGGAATCTCAGCTCTTCCCTGCCAGGCACTTCCTTCTGGTGAGGGTGGTGACAAAGGCACACGGCAGGCCTGACGTGGAATCTTGTGCCACAACCAGCTATGTGACCTTGGCAAAAGACTTAGCCTAAGTAAGCCTCGGTGTCTGCCCCACAGACTGGGAGCACTAGACCCACCTTGGTAGACAATTGGCAATCCCTTCATGGTATCTCCACACTGACTGGGCTGGTTGGTGAGGGCCCTCCACCCCCACCCCACAGTCTGTATCTATCTCTGCTTGTGTTCAAGTACTTTGAGCCTCAACAGTGTGTACAGTCATCGTAGACTACAACAGACAGAGTGGCAGGACTGCAAATTCCCCCCCCCCAAGAATGTGGCAATAAGCTCTAAATTATTCAGCCGAAAATCAGTATTAGAAATCATGTCTACTTATTATGATAAACAATGGTCACGCCCCAGATGGCCTTCACTGCCAAACCTTACATAGCAGTTCTCAATAACATGGAGATGGAAATTTGCAAAGTGGATTCATCTTTTTTCATCTGTCAGATAGCTCTGCCCTTATTTTCAGCAGTTTAAGATGAAATGAAGCCGACTGTGAGAAACTTGCGTAGCAAGAAAGACCGGGGGTGGGGCAGCTCGCACAGCTGCGTGGAATCCCAGGCGTGGGCCAGCCGTTCAGGCCCATTGCAATAGCAGCAAGCAGCTCATCTGAGCTCTACATGGCCCCCAGCTTAGCAGGGTGGGGGGCGGTTTCCTGGGGCCATCACCTCAGCAGCATGTAGAGTAACAGAGAGCACAGAGCCATTGATCCTGGAAGTCCTCACTGCCCCGCTCACCAGCTCTGTGACTTCAGCCTCGGTATTGACTTTTCTCAGTGTTGGCTTGCTCATCTGTAAAGTGAGGAACAGAATTCCTGCCACATGGGGCCATTTGGAAGCATCCAATGGGACAGGACTCTGAGGTCCCTGGGACAGTGCCTGGCAGACAGCAGCTGCTCAGCGCCCGTGCTTCTGCAACTGGGACCCCCTTCTTGGTCCACCCAGCCCTTTCTATGCTATTTTCCCATCAGCTGTGTCCACTCCTTTATTCTTGCTGCCTGACAGTTAACACTCCTTTTGGCAACCAATACAGCATCTGAGAGTGCTCTGGGATAAAATAAATGGAACTAGAATTAATTCAAGTAATTTCTAGCACATCTGAGCTGGGAATTGACTTGAATCACCTTTTCGATCCACCCCCTGACCCCGCCCCCAGTCAATAGCTGTAAGCAGCCTACACTTAGATCAGGCTTATATGGATGGATGGCTCCTTTCTACCCTCGGAACCCCCAAATCGACACCTGTCCTGAGTCATTAACCAGCCGACTTCAGGAAACAGCCTCTGTCAGTGGTGAGTAAATGCTCCCGTCACATGGCAACTACTGAGCCTACCTCTTGCCTGGGCAGACTCATTGGGCGCTCAGGCCATGACAACAAGGCAACAAGGGCTATTGCTCATCGACGCAGCAACTCCTTGCAGGAACATCCCGAATGCCCCCGACCTCAGGATAGGGCGTCTGTGTGCTGCAATGCCCGCTGCACATTCCGTCTCGGGTTAGCCATATACATCAGGGTGCTGCCATTTCAAAGGGACTGACAGCTCTGTATTTGAATCTTTGTCTGGAAAACCAGTTTGCTAGTGGCTTTGCATTGTCTTAGAGTTTCCTAACAATACTGGCTGCTTTGTAGTGAAAAATAGGGAATTGGTTGTGTGCACAGTGCCCTCAGCAGGTGCCTGTCCCCGCCCAGATTTGGATTTTATTGGTCTGGGGTTGGCTTCAGCACTGGGAGCCTTATATGCTCCCCAGGGTTTCTAATGTGAAGACCAAGCCTAGAAGTAGCACATTAGATGGACCCGGGTTAACATGCCCAGTCATTGATGATGTGGAATTTGGTGACGTTGCTCAACTTCTCTGAACCTTAATTTCCTCATCTGTAAGAGGGTGAATATAAGACTGATACCTTAGTCTTGTCTTGAGGATTGAGTAAGACAGCATGTGTGAAGTGATTGCGATGCCTACCAGGGCAGGTGTGCCTGAAAAGTTAGGGCCTCGCCCACGGGTACCTGGAAGAGTAGGTAACAGGTCCTCAGGGAGATGACCCCTCAGGAGAGGACTGGAGCCCGCCTGCACGTGAGCCATGTCCTGTGGCTTCCTCCTGCTCTCCCACCCACTCCTCACTGCTCCCCCACCTCCAGGCTAGCTCGTGCATTCTGCACCATCTACACCATCCCACCACAGGCTGGGAAAGATGGAACATCTCGAGGAACTGAGTTTGTTGATTTCAAACACCTCAGGTACCTAGATCTCTGGTTCTTTATCTCTTTAGGTTATAGACTTTCAATAATCTCATGATCTTTCCAAGGAAATGCACTTGGGTGCATCGAAAGCAGTGTGACTACAGCTCAAGGATGAGTATCGACCCACCAAGCCCATCACCACACCTAGGTTGGAAGAACCAGTCTGAATGAGCCTGACATGACTCTTTAGTTGAGAAAAAAGAATCACAAAGCTGTGACTTACTCCTGGTCAGATGCGAGGCAGTGGTGATGTTGGGAAGAAATTCAGGCTCCTCATCCTGTGTCGCTGGCACTGAGGACTCCTTTTACCTCGCCTTTTGAAAAGGGCAAAGTAGAAAAGAGAGCTTCGTGTCCATGTGCTTGATCTTGTCAATCATGAAGTAGAAGGAAAATGATTATCAGTTGAGCCCCCAACTTTGGTTAATCCCCCTCTCAAATGTTGAGAGGATGCTGGGCTTCTCCCACAGTAGCAGTTACCCCCCATGGGACATTTGTCTGATTTCTTGTTTGTCTCTAACACTAAGAAGCTCCCTAGGGGCTGGGGACACATCTGTCCTGTTTACCATGGTGTCCCAGCATATGGACCAGGTTGGGCAATCAATATATATTTATGGAATGAATGAATGAATTAAATAAACAAGGGCAGTTCAAATACATATACATGATTAATTTAACTTAAAAAGTTCATCACAGTATTCACACAAAACTCTGAATTTTTATTGGAAGTACTTCAATATTGAGTTCTAATTTGTTACTGTTTGTGTCCTCTCTCTTTCCCATTGCCTCCAGCATCTTCTGTTTCTCACTACGAAGCGGGAACCAGAGAGGTCAATGTAGAAAACCATCTGCAAATTATGACCCCAGGGACTCAAGGAACAGTATCAGCAGATCTCTGGCATGTTTTTAAGACACGGTATCCTCTCCCAGGCAGCGCTAAATGCTGTCGTTAGGCTGGCACCAGGCACAAGAGAGCACGCCTTCATGCTCTCTTGATGAGGTGCTCTCATAAATATTAATTCTCTAACCCTAGAGTAAATGACGCCTCTGTGGAATATGTCCCCAAATCACTGCAAGAGTAGGGATGCGTAAGGCCCCATGAATGTGTACGCAGAGCTGCGGTAGAAGTTGGGGTAATGCAAAGCAGGCTAGGGGAGTCTTTGAGGCAGAGTCAGGAAAACACCAGGATTTGAGAGGTGTTTTTACAGTTTGGAGATAAGAAAGACAGTAAGGGAATTTGAAAAACTAAAGCAAAGGCAAAATAACCATTTGCAGAGACGTCTTTGAGCCCTAAATGCCTCTCTGCTGCCTCAGACTCTCACAGAATTGATTTCCGCCCCTTGGAGAAATTGTTTGCTGTGACTGACCTACTTTTTCACATGAAAGATAATCTCACTGAAATGTTCTTCTCCCTTAGCTGATTTTAAAAAAAATCCTTTTTCTAACTATGACATATTCATACTGTGGATCCATACACATTAACTAAGAACGATCAATGCCAGGGATGTCCTATAGAACTTTCTGGGATGATCGAATGTCCTGTACCTGTGCTGTTCAATATGACAGCCACTAGCCACATGTGTCTGATGAACATTTGAAGTATGACTGCTAACATGACTGAGGAACTGAATTTTAAATTTCACCTAATTTTAAATTAATTTAAGCTTAAACACATGTAGCTAGGGGCCACAGACCAGACCAATAATACTGTATCGTAAGAGTTCCTAGACATATTGTCAAAGTGAAAAAATGACAAACTGCAGTGTTATATACTTAGTATAACCCCCTTTTGTGAAAATACACTCATCTAAAACAAAGCAATACCTTTATGTTTGTGTATTTAAATGCTTTCAAATGGATAGAAGGTGGCTGAAATTATACCAACAGACCAATAGAGTAATTACTTCTGGAGAGGAGGAAATCAAGTAGGTCTGTTGCTTCATCAGCTTTGTTAGAAATTTTTAAATGAAAGTTTATGCAAGTATTATTTGTGTAATACAATATAAAAAAGAAGAAAAAATTAAAAACTTTTTTGTCTGCTATATCTGGAGTTATTTTCTCTTTTGGTCTAGTTATCATGGTAAACCCATGTGTCTGGTATCTAAGACCAAAGAAGCCCGAGAATGGGTAAATGAGCTGTAAGATGTTCCTTCTAAAAAGCCCAGAGATCCTTGGTAGTAGGTTGAGGGACAAGTAAAAAATGCATACATGCACACATGCATCCATGTGCACCAAGTGACACGGCATACTCTGTTCTCAACCTTGACTGTGTCAGAATCACGTTCTTAAAAGTGTCTAGATGCTGGAGTCCCATCCAAAAGATCAGATTTCAATTTGTCTGGAATGAGCCCAGGCCAATAGTATTTTTTAAAAACGGCCTCAGTGATTGTATTGGGTATCCCGGATTGAGAACATCTGGGCTGGAGGCACCCAGTGGACGAGAGGGAAGGGGAGCAGCAAAGTTGGGGAAGGGCCACACAGAAGACCCCTTTGCCCTTCAACCACCATAGGAGAGAGGAAGGACACACAAATGCTGCTCTGCTTGTCACCTTGTGGAAAGGAACATGGCACCTGAACTCTGCAGAGCCCTGGGGTTGGGTTCTAGCCTTTATATAGGTAATCTCTTCCCTGCTATGACTTTAAATCATTAGTGTCACCTCCATGCAGTGACTGGGACCCTTCAGCTTCCATATGGGCAGCTGACATCACACAACTATGTATTTGCTCATTCAACTTTTTTTACAATTGCAAGATTTAAACATATTCATATAATAAAATAGACATAATGTAAAATTTAACGTTTTTCAGTGAATAGTTCAGGGCATTAAGTACATTCACACTGTTATGCAACCACCACCATTATCCATCTCCAGAACTAGTTCCTCTTCCCAAATTGAAGCCCTGTTCTCATGGAACAAGAGCGCCCTATTCCTGCTCCCCCAGCCTCCGGCAAGCACCATTCTGCTTCCTGTCTCTGTGAATGTGACTACTCTTTCTGGGTCTGGCATAACATGTTCAAGGTTCATCCACGTTGAAGCATGTGTCAGAATTTCCTTCTTTTTAAAGCTGAATATTCCACTGTGTATATCCATCACCTTTTGTTTATCCATTTATCTATTGATGGCCATTTGGTTGTGTTCATTTAACTTTTTAATAGGATTTTGTAGCAAGAGTGCTTGCAAAATGTGAGGTGTGAAGAGCAGGAGTATGTCTGACCCGGTATCATCCATAGCCCGAGTGTCCGAGAAGCTGGCAAGCAGGGTATGCCTAAGACCCCCAGTGCAGCACCTCAGGGCAGCAGTGGTTAGAATTGAGTGGCCTGAAAGTGTGCATTTTTGGAGTGACTTATCTCATCAACAACATGGCATTTAGTAATTACTGACCACTAACCTCTTCTAACTATTACCACAAAACTGCTGAGAGAAGGGGGTTTAAGTTGAACAGAAAAGCTGGCCGTTGTGTGCTTTGGTTTGGGCTGAGCTATTCCTGGTAGCCCTGAGAGGCTGTCCTGGTTCTTTGGGCTGCTGTGGGCTGTCTTTGCTGGCCACTGGCTTTCTACTCCCCCAGCCCTCCTGCCCTGATTCCCTCTGTGAAGCTGATTCTGCTCAAAGGAGGAGGCTGCCTCCCTTCTCACCTCCTCACCCTCCCCTCTCCAACAATACCTCCCAGCCCTGCACGGTAGGATCCAAGAGCCCACTGAAGGAACAAACAAATTCATTGTTTTCTTTTATTTCTGCAGAACTTGAGGTCCCCTCTGTCTACCATGATCATAGCTCAGGGAGGAAGGAGCAAGGGACCCATGCTGGCTTGAAGAGGAGCAGAGCAACAAAGAGGAGTTTCTTTTTGTTTGTTTGTTTATTTGTTTGCTTTCCGATGAGTTTCTCAGCTGTCAGTGTTGTCTGGGGGTTCTTTTAATGACCTGGATTCAGCCATGCCTGAAGCTGTGACCATTGTAGTAATATAAGCCCCACATTTCTCTTTTCTTTGTTTTGACCTGTATTTCTTCCATTTGAAACCCGAGAGTGATAGTATCAGGCGGTCCACAGTGTCATCGTAGCTTCATGCCCAGTGTCTGGACCTGCCAGCCATCTTCCCTAGGCTCTGCAGGTGGGAACCCCCTAGCACAGGGAGGGCTGCAGGAAGCTTGTGCTGCTGAGCCATCAAGTTAAATGACTGTTTAGTAATGTTGCCAGAATCATAACCTCTTGGAACAGCTTGACATTGTTTTCTTCCTATGGATTCCCAGGCAGGGTGATGGGGTTGGCATCTCTGTGTGCTGGGTTTTCTACTCAGAAGGAAGAATGAGGCAAGAGAGCTGAGGCTCTGCAAGAAGTTTCAACTGCCTTCTAGAAGGTGTATTATGCCAGTTCTCTAGGCTAGGGCTTCACAGTGAGTGCAGAAGGCTGGGCATGGGCACAGGTGAGGGGGGCAGAAGCCCTGTTTGCAAATCAGTCTGTTCAGACTTTTGTTGCTGGGGTGGCAATTAGGCCTTATGAGAGCAGGAAACACACTACCTTAACAGATGAGCAACTCTACAGTCACACTGGGAAAAAAAAATTAGATCATCAGGGGACTATGCATTTGAAACTCAAAATTGGTGTTTTTATAAACCATTTGTGATTTTAATGTTTTTATTCTGTGCTTTCAATGGAATTTAAATATGATGCACTGAGCACACACTCAATTTTGCTTTTAGAAAGAACGAGGCTAGTTCCTGACTAGAGTTCAGCATTTTTTTGAATCAACGATATGAAGAATTTTATATATATATATATTTCAGCACACTCACTGGTATCTTCTAATGCAGAGAATGGAAAACCAAATGAGCAGCCGGCCCGTGGCAAAGCATGACAAGGGCTTGAATTCTGGAAAAGCTATTTGGAAAGCTTTTTGTTGCAAGAAACACACAAACAAAAGAGGAATCTGACTCAATTAACCTAAAAAGTACAGAAAAATTTAAAACTCACAAGAATTAAAGTTTGATGGTAGCTTTGCCTTCAGGTGAGGCTTGATCCAGGGCCTCAGATGCTCTGACCAGGATTTGGTTTCTTCCCATCTTCCCTCTCTGTCTTTTCATAGCTTCCCCATTCTGGGTAGTGTCCTCTCCACAACCCCACCCCCACCAGCAACCCCAGCCTGTACTTCCAATCCCTCCACTGTCCTGTTCCTGGGAGCTCAGGAAGATGCACTCAGAGAAGGTAATACTTTGAATTTTGAAGGCAGGATACCCATGGGA